GCTCAGCGGGAAGCCTGCTTCTCCCTCTCCCACTCCCCCTGCTTGTGTTCCCTCTCTCACTGTGTTTCTCTCTGTCAAATAAATAAAATCTTAAAAAAATAAATAAATAAAATTTAAAAAATTAAAAAAAAATTATAAACGCAAAATTCAAGACAGTGGTTATCTTCAGGGGAGAAGCCGGGGGGATGGGACCAGAAAAAAACACAGTGTATTAATATTCTGTTCCGTAAGTTGGATGGTAGCTTTCATGGTATTTAGCCTTTTTTTTTAAAGATTTTATTTGACAGAGAGAGCACACAAGCAGGCAGAGGGAGAGGGAGAAGCAGGCTCCCTGCTGAACAGAGAGCCCAGCGCGGGGACCCAATCCCAGGACCCTGGGATCATGACCCAAGCTGAAAGCAGTCGTTTAACTGACTGAGCCACCCAGGCGCCCCTCCTGGTATTTATCTTATTATGCTTCATATGTATGTATTAAATAGTATATAATTTTAAAACATTAGCAACAATTAGTATATAGTTACAGAGTGCTTACTGTATGCAAGCCACTGTTCTTACTTGGCATTTTACATACTTTAACCCAGGGTGGAGGTAAGAGGCCTCAAAAATGTTATCTTTGCCGAGGCTCCATGGCTTGTTAATGTTGGCTGTGACCTTATCCTGGGACTTCTAATTTCTAATTCACTGCTTTTGGCTTTAGACCCATCCTGCTTCCCTAAATAGTAATTTGCACTCAAATCTCTCATTCTCCCAAGCTATGAGTTTCCTCCTGAACTCATTTCCATGTCTGTCAGCTTAGACTTCATGGTCAGTCACTTCAATGGACTAAATCAGCACCCTGAGTTTTCTTGACCCCTTTGTTCTTTCACTATCTCTGCTTCACCAATTCCCAAGTCAAGTGAAACCCACCATCTCTTATACTCAATTTCTGCTAGGTTATTGAGCGTGGTGGTAGAAAATCACGTAAGTATGCCAACTGACTCCACTGCAGATGTATGATTTCTTAACTCAGATACTCATTTCTGTTCGGCTTTTTCAGATTTACCTGATGACCGCTGCACCCTTTTTATTATTCTCAACTTTATAGTCCCTACTTCCCATCCTTACTTTCAGCAGATTGCTTTACCTCTTATTCTCTGGGGAAAATACTGGTCATCAAACCTAACTTCCTCTTTTTCTCATCCCTAGACTAAATTCTTAGAGCACCCACTTTCTCTTTATTTCAGGGGTACACTTCCTCTCCAAAGCTACCCTCATCCTCATTACCTGTACTGTATCCCAGTGTACTAGTTATCTGTTGATGCATAACAAATTTCCCCAAAGCATGGTGGATTAAAACAATAATAAACATCTGTTACCCTCACAGTTTCTGTGGGTAAGGAATTCGGGAGTGACTTAGGTGGGTAATCCTGGCTTGGGGTTTTCATGTGATTGCAGTCAAAATGTCAGCTGGTGCTGCTGTTTTCTGTAGACTTGCCTGAGGCTGGAGGATCTGCTTCTAAGGTGGCTCACTTACTTGCTTGGCCTATCAGTGTTGGTTGTTGGCAGAAATTCCAGTGCCTGGGTGCCTGGGTGGCTCAGTTGGTTAAGTGACTGCCTTCGGCTCAGGTCATGATCCCAGGGTCCTGGGATCCAGCCCCGCGTCGGGCTCCCTGCTCTGCGGGGAGCCTGCTTCTCCCTCTCCCACTCCCCTTACTTGTGTTCCCTCTCTCGCTGTGTCTCTCTGTCAAATAAATAAATAAAATCTTTAAAAAAAAAAAAATTCCAGTGCCTTCACAACATGTCAACTGCCTTCCTCCAGAGTAAGTTAAGAGCAAGATGGAAACTGTAAATTCTTTTGTGACCTAACTTCAGAAGTCATATGACGTCATTTCCACAATATGCTTTTGGTACACAGCTGAGCCCTTTTCAGTGTGGGAGGGGATTTCACAGGAGCGTGAATACCAGGAGGCAAGGATCACTGGGGGGCTCTTGGAGGCTGGCTGTCACACCACTTCTATCCTTCCACTGTCTTCCATACGTTATTTGCTCTTTTCTCTTTACCTTAATTTTATTTCTCCTTAACTCTTTTCTTTGTGTGTTATACTTTTCATTAATAGTCTTTAATCTTGAACTGTTTAAGCTACAAAAATAAGGTTACATTTGTTCTTTAAAACACACACACACACCCTTTCCTAGCCCCGTGCACCAAATAAATGAATAAATTTAAAAATAGGGGTGTCTGGCTGGCTCAATCAGTGGAGCATGCGACTCTTGATCACTGGGTTGTGGGTTTGAGCCCCACACTGGGTGTAGAGATTACTTAAAATCTTTAAAAATAGGGGCGCCTGGGTGGCTCAGTTGGTTAAGCGACTGCCTTCGGCTCAGGTCATGAGCCCGGAGTCCCGGGATCGAGTCCCGCATCGGGCTCCCTGCTCAGCAGAGAGTCTGCTTCTCCCTCTCCCGCTCCCCCCTCTTGTGCTCTCTCTCTCTCTCAAAATAAAAATAAATAAAATCTTTAAAAAAAAAATCTTTAAAAATATATCAATAAAAATACACACTCTGTCCCCCCATATTGATCCAGGTTTGGTTGTAGAAAATACCCACCGAGCTAGTCTAAGCAGGAAGGGACTTATTTCGGATCACAGAGTCATTGGGAAGGCTAAAGAAACGAACTCTAGCCTGGACTTCCAGAAGCGGCTCCCCAAGACGACTCCGAAGTCTTTGCTGCTCCTGTAGCCCTTAGGAACCGCGGTACAGCTGCTGCCCATTCAAGAAGTACAGGGTACGGCTCCTACGTGCACGCGTCACCAGAAACAACCCACTGCTCCCTGAATGCGCAAGGGAGCAGAACTAAGAGAATCATTAAGGCCACTTTCCTCAGACAGGCCTCGGACTTGGAGATGCTGAGAGCCTTGGGCTTCAGCTCCCACCCAGACCTGTTCTTCCTCATACATGACTAGTCTAGGTTAATGATCTTTTCAGGACTCCTCAAATTCAGTTAGTCCCCAAATCCCGGCATTTCAGTACCAGAGATGACTTCTGACACCAACCAGTTCCTTGTCTCTCCACCACCACTGCCTCATTTCCCATTATCATCCCTGCCTGGACTTTCACAGCAGCCTCCCGAGTAGTCTTAGCCACGGGGTTTTCCCCATTTCAGTCTATCCTCCACCTGCCTTAGCACAGCGTTCAAGATATTTAGTAATCTGTTCCCAGTTTACCTACTGATAATAGCAAAAGCTTTCTGAGCACTTGATATGTGCCAAGTGCTGGACAAAAAGTAAAGTACATGCATTGTCGTACTTAATTCCACATAACCCCGTGAAGTAGATATTATTAGGTCCCCATTTGGTAGATAAAGAAACAGAATCATAGAATATATGAGATTTGACCGTAGTTACTTAATTGCTATGTGGAGGAACCAGAATTGGAGTCAGGTCTGCTACCCCTACAGGCAGTATTCCTAATCCTACTGCATTTTACACTTGTTCCAGCCCCACTCCCTCTTGACCCTGCTCAGAATTGAGCCATAGTGAACTCACCATCTCTCTAACACTGTGCTCTTTCACTGTACCTTGGCACATCTTGTTTTCTAAAATACACTGTTTCCTCCCTGTCCCAACACTCTTCTGCTTAGCATATTCCACCTTCAACTTCCAAT